TAGACATAGCTCTTTGAGGACATTGATTGCATTGGCAGCTCATATGAATCTTAATATAGACCACATGGACGTGAAAACCGCATTCTTGAATGGTAACTTGGACGAGGTGGTTTATATGAAGCAACCAGAGGGTTTCGTTGAAAAGGGAAAGGAGAATTATGTGTGCCAGTTGCAAAGATCATTGTACGGACTTAAACAAGCTCCCAGAGCATGGAATAAAAAACTTCATTTGGAATTGCTGAAACTTAAATTCAAGAGGTCTGAGTATGAACCATGCGTTTATATTAGATCTACAGGAGATAAAGTAATTATTCTTGCCATATATGTAGATGACATTTTATTGTTCTGGAATAATGTTGAGGAATTAAGGAAGGTTAAAACCGATCTCACAAACAAATTTGAGATGAAGGACCTTGGCACAGCGAAGTTGATGTTGGGAATACGAATAGCACAAGATAGTGAAGGGATCAAACTGGATCAGAAGGGATACATAGAGAAGGTTATTCGTACATTTGGAATGGAGAACTGTAAACCAGTTGCTACTCCAGCAGTACCAGGACAAAGGCTAGAGAGGCCACAGCTTGATCAAGAACTTGATGAAAAAGTACCGTATCGCGCATTGATTGGTTCACTGATGTACCTTGCTGTTTGTACGCGCCCTGACATAGCACACACAGTAAGTCAGCTCAGTCAGTTTAACAACAGCTACGGAGACGAGCATTGGATAGCTGCAAAGAGAGTGCTCCGCTATTTGATGGGAACCAAGGATCTAGCATTATTCTATAGAAGGGGAAACCAAAATGAGTTTGTATTAGGTTATGCTGATGCAGATCACGCCGGAGACTTTGATAGAAGATCAAATTCAGGTTGGGTATTTTTATCTCAAGGAGGAGCTATTTCTTGGGAGAGCAAGAAACAACGTACAGTGGCAATATCGTCTGCAGAAGCTGAGTATGTAGCGTTATCAGAGGCTGCAAAAGAGGCAATTTTCATTCGCAGGTTTATTGCAGAATTAAGAGATGGACCCAATCCCGCAATCTCAATTTTCACTGATAGTCAGTCGGCTATGGCAATTGCTAAGAATCCTGTACATCACCAGCGTACGAAGCATGTGGATGTAAGATATCACTTTGTACGTGAGGCGATTGAGAATGGTGACATTCATTTGAGGTACAAGGAAACTAATAGAATGACAGCTGATGTTTTGACAAAGTGTTTGTTGAGAGGTAAATTTGAATGGTGTGTGAAAAGCATGGGTTTGAGTTGTGTGTGAATAAGATGGCTGTTTATATGGTAGGTACACTAACAGGCATGAGATTAAGGAGGAGTGTTAGAGCGACAAATTGCTAGGAGTTTATATTTGCGTGTAATCTCATTGCTGTTATTCGTATGGTTTGTGGTTGTCAGAATTTTTTGAATATACTGACTGACATGCACTTCAAGTTTTGGTTGTTACTTGCTTAGATACGTTGTTTGTACTCATGTGTTCTATTTTGTTTGTAAATATATATTAAGTCAATATTAGCTGGCATTCTTTATTTATTATATATGATCGAGGTTATCTAGTCCTCGATCAGTGAGTCAACCATAAAAGATAGACATATGCTGTTGCGGGATACTTTTTAGACAATTTTATGTAAAATATTTCCGTCATACATGATTTCTATGTAACTTTAACCATTAAGGCTGCACACGCGACGGAAGCTTAAAAAATGGAGTAACTTCTCCCGTTTTCCCAACATTTCCCTTCACTACTCTGCTCCTATTGATTGTAGCGTGATGAAAAGTATACTATAACCTGCCCAGGAGTATGAATAATAATTGTACCAAGTTTCGTTAAAATCCGTCGAGTAGTTTTTGTTTCTATAAGGAACAAACACACAGACAGACAGACAGACAGACAAAAATTTTACTGATTGCATTTTTGGCATCAGTATCGATCACTAATCACCCCCTGATAGTTATTTTGAAAATATATTTCATGTACAGAATTGACCTCTCTACAGATTTATTATAAGTATAGATAAGATGACGCTGGCAGTTAAACACTTTCCAGTTTTTATTCTTATCACCTCTGTCATGTGTCATGCACAAATAAATTCAAGCAGCTTGCTTACGTATTAGTTCATACCATAAATTAACGTTCGTACCGTATTGATGCGGAAATGAAACATAAAATAATACAACTAAAAAATGATGGTTTATCCGTAAAAGATATCGCCGATGAGCTAGGGATAGCCGTAAGTATCACGGAGAAAAATGCTAAAAATCAATTGCCCACAAAACATGAAACTTTATTCACAAAGTATAAAATTGTATTTATTTCAGAGAAATACTGTATATTTATGGCTAGAAAGATGGCAGCAAGAAGAAACATTAAATAATCATGTTTCATTTGGTCGCCCGCGTACTACAAATAACCAAGACATAGCTATTATAGATAAAGCCAAAAATGACAGATTTATAAACACTACACAATTTTCAAGCACATTCGAAATATCCACTAGCACCATTAGAAGACGATTAAAAGAAGGAGGTTTAAAAAATAGAGTACCGGCAAGAAAACCAACTCTCACGCCAAGGCACAAAATGCAGCGGCTACAATTTGCAGCTAATTATTTAAATTTAAATTTTCAAAACGTTATTTTCATGGACGAAAAGGTTTTCTGCTGATGATTTCTGAGATAATGGGCGATTAAGTTTGTGGCGACCCGAAAACACACGTTACTTAGAACAAAATGTGCTGCCTAATCGCCGGAGTGGACATATTTCAATTGGATTTTGGGGATGGATGTGCAAAGATGGTCCTGGTGAGCTTGTGGAAATAAGTGGACGAATGAATGCAATGAATTATAAGGAACTTTTGGTAGATACTTTTCTTCCTACAGCTCAAGTTTTTTATCCAGAACAACAAATTACATTCCTTCAAGACAACAGCTCAGTACATAATGCTCGTACAGTACAGACATGGATTAATGAACAGAGAGAACTAACTTTAATCAAACTACCACCAAAAAGTCCAGACCTCAATCCCATCGAAAACCTTTGGGGAAAAATGGTGCAAGAGTGGGATGGGAATCAATGTCGAACAACAGAAGCCTTAAGGCGACATGCAAATGATGTTTGGGAATCGTTCAGAGGTCGAGGTTTTTGTGAGAAGGTAGTTGGTTCCATGAGGAAACGTTTACAAGACGTATTAAATGCAGAAGGAGGTTACACAAAATACTAATGTTTCATGAGAAGTATATAATTGGTCAGCCTTTAAATAATTTGGTCGGCACAAAAAGATTTTGTAAGCAATTTAAAAAATCAGGCAGCAATCCTTGTTCGGCAAATAATTATATAATGGTCAAAAATTTAATATGAGAGTATACAAGATGGCTCATTTAAATGGGTCAGTATGGGAAAGTCTGAACTATAATATATATGAAGATCTGTTCTTAGGAACTATGTCATCGATTTTAATAAAAATTAAAACTGCATTCATACATTTAAGAAAAACCCTGTGGTCAGCTCGGGAATCGAACCCGGTCGTTTTGAAAAAAAAAAACTAACACTATTTTCTATTTCTATTTATTAGTAAGATAAGTTACCTATACGTGTTAAATTTTGTATTAAAAAAACGGTGGTCACTTAGAACAAGTCGACAATATACGTTACGACCGTCTACGTCTGTTAGAAATTCCCGTCTAAACGGGCATTGATAATATTGGGAAATTATTAAGCTAATAATAATACGCTAATTTTAAGAACCTTACTAATTGCCTGATATCTTTTTGATTTGATCTCATGTATCATTATACTAATTATAAGAATAAAACATTTTGTTACTATTTAATTTTAAACTCATTGTATCAGAAGTTGCTTTTTTTTATTTCGATCTCGATTATAATTTTATTATAATAATAAATACTTAAGCTTAAGCATCTACTGAGGTAGGTACCAAGTTAATTCGTTTACATTTTTTGATTATTTAACTGAATAAAAATTTATAAGAATTAAAATTGTTTTTTATTAATTTTCACTTTTATAAATAATACATACCCAAACCAAACAAACACATCCACTCAGAGAGTAAATAAAATTTTTGTAAGGATGGCGCCCAGTTTGAGCATGATAAGTACAGAATTCCATTTTCCACTGCAATGGAAATAGTGGGACAAATGTTTCCTCCAAATTATTACTTATTTCTATTGCGGTTAAAAAACGCAGTTGTCTTATTTTGAAATAAATTTCTAAGGAGATATTGAGAATTTAATCTATAGAATAAAATAAAAACATAACTTCTCGTTAATTTTAAAAAATAAATAGAGAAAAAATTAGGCATCTTCCATTTCTACTACTCGTGGTGACCCTACACGAATGATTTTCTGATAGATTTTTATTCCCTTCTCATCGTATTTATTCCTTATATTTAGCCTTTGTTTTTAGTTCATCCTTTCAATCACGCAGTAACAAAATATGTAAGCCCAGTTCATGATGCGTAGATACATAATCATTGACGTGTTCAGATATTTTTGAAAAGTTGTATGTTCAGATATTATTGACAGGCATCTGCTCAGATATTATTGAAGTAATGAATGTTCAGATATTTATGGTCACTTGTAGCGTATAGAACTTAATGACATTTTAACTGTTCAGATGTATTTGGTCACCTTGTATGCTCAGATATATCTGATGGCGACTGTACATATAAAGCTCTAAGGACACTGCTTCGCAAAAGTTAATGATTCATAATTTGGATGATTTATGTCTTAAGAGCCATAACTTAATTTATTTGACTATAATACATAATAATTATATAACTAAATATTTTTCAAATAAATCCATCAATAATGTTATTAATAAAAATGATAACATATTGAGTTGTAGTAATTTAGAAATATTGACAAAAAATTGACAATAAACTTGAATTGACTTATAAAACTAACATATTTTTTTTTATAGATAGGTCCGACAAATGACTCCACCCCACCTGATGTTAAGTGAAGGTGAAGTCCAGACGTGAAGATTAAAATTAATTAAAACTGTGAAGCCGCGTACCGAGGAATGTGTTCGTAAAAAACCAACACAACTACCTAATTGGGCGGTTGGTTAGCGGCTACTTAATCTTTGCTAAACGCCACGTTAAAAAAAACGCCGGGGTAGATAATACTTTACCTGCGTGTCCCCCCCTCCATAAAAAACGTGGTCAGTCAGGGCTAATGGAACATTTTTTCCCAAATTGTCCCGTTAACGGGGCGGGACGACCGGGGTGGATGGTACCGATTCGTGGTGAAATTGCTGAAAAAAGACCCCCCGACTGTGAGAAATGAAGTTTACAAATTTTGACACCTTTATTAATATACAGTAAAATTGATAACAAAGCTTGCATTTGTCTGTAGAAATAATACACAAATAAAATATTTTTAGTTTTTACTTTTCGGTTCTCTTACCAACAGGTACAATAAAGACAAACTTGCGATATGGTACAATAAAATACATACCTATAATAATAAAAAACAAACCAATACAATGATATCATAAATAAATAAAAAAAAAAATGAATTGAGATTACACCCTCTGATAAAAAATAGGTTACCTACTTACTAAAAGTTATAGATTTAAATTATTCTAAATAGCTTCTAAAATGACATATAAACATACCATGACTATTGTTATTATGAATATAATTTTATTATTTTTATATATACAAATTGTTACTTCACTTTATTCAGTCAGTACAAAAGAAGTTTGTACAATTTCGCTATAAATATAGGTACAAGAACATTACATTGAAAGCACAATAGCAATTGTAAAATTTTCACACACAATTTTGACCCTTATGTCAATTTAAAGTATAAAACAATATTGCAGAGTTTTTAAAATCTGACGGGCTGTTGATGGGATATATATTCAAAATACATGGTACTTGACTAAATTCTGTACCGTCGTTATACAATATTCTTAAAAACAATGAACGAGATTCTTTGCCTTATAAAAAAACTGTTATAGAGTTGCTTCTCTCTATTTACAATATAAATTTAAAGAAACTTTGAATGAAAATCAGCAATAGCAGTTCAGATATGATGACGGTTCAGAAAAAAAACATTTTCAGCTTTATTACAATGGCCTATGTTTTGCAATTACTTATTGATCCTAAGCTATTTTTGTAAGTTCAGGCGGCTTTTTATAAAGGCGAGAATAGGGATGACGACTATTTTTTCTTCTTAATCTATCAGGTAGATTACCAAAAAGTATTGGACACATATTTTTTCTTAACTCACATAATTATATTTTTCCGGAGATACCTATAATTATTTGAAATAACACATGACGTTACGTTTTGGTACAATTTTTACTTAAAAGTGGCGTCACCAGCCCCCTCTTCCAAACTTTATTAATTATATCAGTCACTTTTTTGGGTTAACGTGAATTGTAGTCTAACTCTAAGCCATTTAAATAATTAAAATAAATAAAGTTTAAACTTTTAATTTTATTTTCAGCTTGCAATTCAAGAGTTTGTGTATGCCGAGTTGTCGAAGTAATGCTTCCAAACTCTGTACTCTTCTTTGCCACCGAACGGCCCAGCTTCGGTGTTCGGAACTTCCAGTCTTTTTCTTCTATTTCTGTAAGAAAATTAAATCTTATTAACTTTTTTGAGTCATACTTTAGAATTAAAAAAAAATTATATACACTTCGTTAAGGAGAAATATTTAAATATATAACCCGTAGTCTGTGTAAATCTCTGCCACGAGTTGATAAAATTATTTTCATATTTTTATATTTAATATTTTGCGTTTTATCATATTTAATAATGGTTTTTAATGTACACATCTAATATATAGATAAGTTGGAGATAAACTATTCAGAAATGATTTAAGACAAAAATCAAAAGACAAAGACAAAATTGGCCGAGGGAAAAAATTGGCCGAGGGAAAAAATCGGCCGTGAAAAACTAAATAAAGGGCTAACACAGATAAGGTTTTGAGCGCCAATTTGCTTGCACAGTTGATGGGATATATATTTAAATAAATGATCCTCATAAAATAATAAATGTTCACCTGATAACCTAACTAAGGGTTAGGTTACCACTTGTATTTTTTGAGGATCAATTACAACATTTTGATCATCATATAAATATGTGCCTTTGTTAAGTGTATAAGATATGATTGCATGTTTGTTCATATAATTATTATGACAAAAATTATCAGTATCAACAGAATTTTAAATAGCTTATATCCCGATTTAAAAAAATTGCTTCGACCAAGCAATGTCTATCAGTTTTTCTTATTGGTTTTCTTTAAAATCAATTTTTATCCTAGTCTAAGTTACGAAGAGTTGATTCTTTTTAATACCAATTGATAAAAGCATGCAAGTTTTTTTATTAAATGTCGAAATAGTCATAATCATTTTCAACAGGCAAGGTAATCGCGATTTGTTTTCTTTATAAAAAAATACTTGAGGAAACATTTATACTTTTTCTGTATGGAGTTTCTACTCAGTAAATAAGGATGAAGGTCGATCTACCTTTTGTAGTAGTCCTCATGGAAATTTATCCTAATGGTTTCGAAAGAAATATACAATTTCATATTTTGTACTAGTCATCATTAAAATTTATTCAAATGGTTATGAACAAAATATCAAAAATTTACATTCTTTAACCATGCACAAGGGTGGCTTGCTAAGCGATTTTCAACTCTTTACCTTTTAGGATAGGGTTGTTTGAGATGCACCGTTCTGTGATGAAGGCTAAGGCTACCGCTTTGAGCGAACCGCTTTCCGCAAATGTTGCAAGCGTGATTCCGTTCTCCAGTGTGTGTCTGAATGATAAATTTACAAATTTTTAATCAACGACTTAAAAAAAACAATACGAACTGCGCTAAAAAGTGGTTCCATGCAAACTGCGATCAAGTGGGCGGGGCGATAAAACTGCGATCAGCACGCCGATTATGTGATAATGTGATCGGTTGGGATTTGCGTTTAACATCATCTTGCCCATGCATGGATAGCCAAATGCGTTTGCAGATATTTGATTAGTCAAATTATTTTGTTTTGTTTGTGTGCGTGTCGCGTAAGTATTGAAGTTAAGTTGTATGAATTTGGACCCACGTTTTAGCGGTCTTTCTTAGAGAGTAATGCTTCCATATAATTTTAAAATTTGCTGTTTTTAATACATTCAGAGGCTATGTGAACTCAGCACGCTAGGCAAGTTTTGTTGATGGTTGATGAATGACAGAGGAGCTCAATGTCGCAGGGGGAGAGCACGTTCGGCCTGTGATCGTAGAGGTTAAGCAACTTTAGCAATAGTCGGTCATTGGATGGGTAACCAAAAATTTATTACCACGAACTCTTTCGTGCTTCGGAAGGCAAGTAAAGAAGTCCCGGCTGTATCTGCAGTCATTAGCACCCACCAATACGAACTATGGACATGGCCCAATCCCTTGTTCGATGGGAGGTCTGTGCCCCAGCAGTGGGGACATTAATAGGCTAATAATCATGAGTTGTATAAACTATTGTTTTGCCTCATAATCATGACATTAAGAGTTCATAATACGGCCTCTGTTATCTCAATAAACCATTGAGCGTTGTATTGTAGCTAGGGATTGCAATCCGGCGTCATTTTCATTCCGGCCGGATACGACCGGATTCCCATCAATCCGGATCGGATTGCATCCAAATCAGGATGCTTTTCGCTTTTTTGTACAAAATAAGTGAGTTAATCAAGTGTCACTGCACTTATATGTGAATCGACTTTCTTTCCTAACCGATATTAAGACAAATAGACAACAATAAAACAATTAAAATTTGGTAGTGTAAGAGTAATTTACGGCGTAACGAGTAGCTCAGTCTTTTTAGATTTCACTTTCAAAGATAGATCAATTTATAAGTAACAATAATAATTATCAAGTAACTATAATATCTAATAGATACAATTAACCTTACGTTATTAACTGAAATGAGATCTAAATCATTATTATTAAAGTATTTAAGAATGCTAACAAACAAGTCTTATAGGTATTTAAGACGGATACCATCATGATTTAATCAATCTGTTGAACGAATGAATTGCAAAAATGATCACAGTAATGAGTTTAGAACTCTTTAGTTTAATCAACTTACGATAAATAATTATTTGAAGTGATAATTGTATACAATACATGATAGTGTCCCAAACAGTTGTCTGGCGGTGGTACTGGCGAAGCGAAGTGGGGCGACTCGTACGCATGAACACCACGCGCAACGCATTTAAAGTAACTACTCATGCAACAACTATATTATTTTGCCACAAACTGCTAGCACCGGATCCGGTCTTCGAATCCGGTATATTGGTACCGGATCCGGTAACCGTCAAATGATGCCGGATCCACCGGATTACCGGATCCGTTTTTCCGGATTGCAATCCCTTATTGTAGCGTTTCACTATCCTGTGAAAAATTACTCTTTTATGGTCATGTTCTCTTCTAGTAACTGTACTTCAGTACATTATCAAAACAAGAAAAAATACATCGTCGCAAGGAATTTACATAACAATAGCCTGTACAAAGTCCAATCTAGGGCGAAATGGATATTGCGTAAAATTATGACAAAATATGATTAATAAGTATAAATATAAAGGAAAATGTGGGGCGAATGACGAATATTCAAGGGGTCAATGCGTATTATAAAGGTTTGGTAGTATAACATAATAATGGTAGAAGCTGTGCTATCTAGAATACATAAATAAGGTAGTGGCACCAATGACCGACAAGAACCAATGATCAACATTTCCTTCCGTAAGCAATGAAAACAAGAGCAGGCAATTGATCATTAAATATGGCAAGACCGAGCTATATAAGAAATGAAATGATACTATATTCAAATTGACTTATTGAAAGATCTTTTGAATAGTCCAATATTTATTCCAACCACCCATTCAGGACATCTTTCAGCTGATGAGGAGAATCATGGTAATGGCAAGAAACTCATCAGTATTTGAATGAAGTAGCAACATTTATAAAAAAAAAACATGTCGTTACCAATACAACATCCACTCATTTTGATTGCTACATTTCGATACTTTCGATATATCCATACATTTAGCGCTTACACTTACTCCTATTTCATTGATCACATAAAAAACATCGATTGGCTCGTCGGTCACTGGTGCCACTACCTTACAGTAGATCTTTTTTGTATTTGCTCCATGTAATTTATTCACTCATACAAACTTACAACTATATGATTTCTCAGCATATTATTGGTGGTAAACGATCTCCCGCAAGTGTCGCACGTGTACATTTTGCGACGGGTGTGTTGGTTGAGGTGAGCCGGTACACTGCTAGGCTGTCAAATTAATTACGATACTTATTTATTTATGTTGGAACACAAACAGAGTGCAGTTATTACATGGTTAAAAAACATAAAACTGGTAAAAATCTAAACTGCCATCCACAACAGTATACACAGAATAAGTAAAATTATGGCAAAATAAAACCTTAAAACTAGGCTAAATCTTTTAACACAGTTAATAAAACGATGTAATAAAAAAATGGAAATTAAGGATCTTCAGTACAATATTTTGACTATAAACTTTACGCCGGCACTTCAAATGTCTATTCGTATATGCTATAAACTTGACAGCAGGTAAAAAAAATGCGTGCACGGACCACACATCTGACATGAAACTTCTTTTCTTAAATAACCTAACATTAGGCGGTGCATAAGGCATAGAGGAATAGAGCAGCGCACGCATCACTCATATATATGGTCACGTGTGACGCTCGTAGCATTTCAGCCTTCGCCAAGCCACCCTCCAACTTTCATGCTCGTCGGGAAGAGCTGCGTACAATGGTTTTCGCATTAAGCTGAGCTCGTAACGCAAATACCTATTAATACAATTACTAAATAGTTCGCATTACAGCATGTTGACAACACCCGGGCGGTGAATTCTTAACCAATTAAACAAACATTGTGAGTGAGGAGGTTACAGAAATACATAAGTTTTCGATAGTCACATTAAAGGTTGTCCTTATCATACTATATAGGGCACCTACCTACCCCTATAAAAGGAGAGATTATTGTCAAGTTTACAAATTGTAAATAGGAATAGCCATGTGAAGTGCCAGAATGAGATACAAACAGCCCAATAAATTGGAGATATAATTTGATGCTTCTATAAATCCGTTACGAAAATAAAATTATTATTTCCCGTCACACGGTTAGAAAAAAACCAGCAAAGTGCGAGTCGGACTCGCGCACCGAGGCGAGGGTTCCGTACAAACTATATAACCATTCAATACCTCTACGCATTCATGAGAAAAGAGGTAGTAACTTTAAAATTTTCCAAAATATTTTTTATTATATGATGTAACTAAAAAACTACGGTTTTCGCAATTTTTCCTTAATCTGAACTATAAGACGTTACTTCGTACCAAATTTCAAGATTCTAAGTTCACGGGAGTAAGTTTTCATTCCCGTGTGAGTTTCGAAAATTTGCGGCATAAACGGCTGTATCTTTTGATTGCTTTGGCTTAGAAGTTTGATTTTTTCACAGCTCCAAGGGACAGTAGATATGAGTATTAGATATGAATTTCAGTTTGCTACCTCCACGCGTTCCTGAGAAAAACGGTCTTGACAGACGGACGGACGGACAACAAAGTGATCCTATAAGGGTTCCGTTTTTTCCTTTTGAGGTACGGAAACCTAAAAATAAGCCCAGTTCGCTATCCGACGCACATACGGGTATTTTGCTGATCTAGCCAGTCAAAAAAAGATTTGAAGAAGTTGTCGCAGATAAAAAGCATCTGTCGATTCTGGCATGATTCTCTAAACCTAAACTTAAATTTGACAACAGTGTATCCTTGTTATTCTCTATACAGAATGAAAAGGAGACTGATGTAAATTTAGCTTTAAGTTTAGAGAATCACGCCAGAATCGACTCCATTGGTACCTTTAGTTCGCGAATGACAAGAGATCAATAGACAACCCTTCCCGTGCACCCGCGCACATATTTTGATTGAAAGTTAGTCATCGCTTCAAGTGCACGTAGGTATCTTACGCGTTAAGTAAGTGTGATAACATCTGATAAACAGTAAATTGTTTGCGTTGAAAGATAAACGAAAATAAATAAAACTAAATGGTTTCACTGAAATGTAACTTACGCATTTTTATAACTTGACAACCGAAATGAAGTCAGGTTAAGGGAGCTTGATGGCGCAAGTGGTTAGCGCGTTCGGCTGCGATAGTTGTAGTTAAGCAACTTTCGCAGTGGTCGGTCATTGGATGGGTGACCAAAAATCTTCTATCTCGAGTTCCTCCGTGCTTTGGAAGGCACGTCAAGCCATTGGTCCCGGCTGCATTTGCAGTCGTTAGCACCCGCCAATCCGAACTGGGCCCGCGTGTTGGGTCATGGCCCAATCTCCCTATTCAATCCATAGGGAAGGCCTGTACCCCAGCAGTGGGGAAATTAATAGGCTGATGATTAATCAGGTTAATTACTTTTATTATTACTTGTTATCTTACCGCTAACGAAGTGCCACATATCTCGCATATAACTCTGTCCTTTGGCGAGTAGAACGGCTTCCTCGGGTGTTCCGCGTGATGGTGCTTCATACAAGCCGATTGAGATTCGAAGTGTTTACCGCACTAAGAAGAAGAAACATTTTATTTTTTAAATATTATTAAAACACCCGTTGTTTAAAAACTCGTTGTTTTGTATGTAAATTGATATTGCGTAGGCTTAGTTGTCTGTGGTTTAGCTAAATAAGTTTGCCGCTACCTTAACTTACTTTAATGAGGAGCTCGATAGTGCTTTGGTTAGGTCTACGATTATAGAAGTTAAGCAGCGTTGACAGACGTCGGGAATAACTCGATCGTGCGTACAGCGTACTGAGAAAGCGCGGAGGGAGGGGGGGGGGGGGGGCACAGACAAGTGTAGACCGCCTGCCCGCCGCGTAATGCAGAACGACAGGGTAAATCTGATTTTAAATATCATATTTTTATTGAAAAACATTTTCTATAGATTCGACGATTTCTACTAGATACCTATCTATTGTCACGTAAACGTAATTTGAACTCAAATAAAAAGATAAATATTCAAAAACATTTGATTATACACGTTTTTTCTTCCCCGCCCCGCTTTCGACGAAAGAATCCCGCTTTTTTTTTGGCAAAAAAAAAATCTGGCAATGCTGAAGTTAAGCAAGCAACTATTTCAATGGCCGGTCAAAAGATGGGTGACCAAAATGTACTATTTCGTCGTTGCGATATTCAATAAAAACTGTCTACTGAAAAAAATATATATGGAAACTTAATATAACAAAAAATACAAGTGATAACTAGAGGGTTTTCTGATTTTTATTTTGTTCTTGTCATATTAAATAAAAAAGGAAATTGTAGTAAAAAAATTAAAAAACAATTCAATGCGACACATAAGAGGTTTTGGTTGCGCGTTTTGTATCACATTAGAGAATATAAGTATGTAAAAGGGATTGAGATTGAAAACACAAGACTTTTAATTAAACAAATTATTTGTTTTTAATATTTATCATTGCAATGACAATAGTATATAATAGTGGTTTTATGTATTGCTCAATAGTCGAGTGAACACTGTCCACCTCCATCATGGTGTGCCCTTTTTTATGTTTAATAGGCAAGGCGTTTGAGCAAAATCTCGCCTGATGGAAAGCAATGATGAGGCCTAGGATGGTACACGCCTGCCTAGAAGATGCCTGTTTACTCTGGCCTTGAAGATTTCCAGATTATATAGGTCCGAGAGGAGTTCCACTCCCTAGCCGTTCGCATAATGAAAGCGGAAGTAAATCGCTTAGTGTGAATGGGAGGAACTTGGACAACATAAGGGTGAAAGTCCTCGCCGCGCCTGGTCGTTCGGTGGTGGAAAGGGGAAGGGGGAATCAAATAGTGTAGTACCTCCACACACTCCCCGAAATGTAACCGATAAAACACCGAGAGGCAAGTTACACGTCTTCGGTGGTCAAGGCTCTGGAGATTAGCCTCAACGAGAGCGTCATTGCCTATGAGTCTCTTCGTACGGTGTTCCACTGAGTCCAGTGCATCCAGCTGACACCGAGCAGATCCATCCCAAAGGTGACAACAGTACTCTAAGCAGGAGCGAACTTGGGCTCAGTAAAGGTTAAGGAGCTGCTCAGATGGAAAATATCGCCCGATCTTTGAAAGTATTTCAAGTTTTTTGGCAGCGGTTTTAGCAATGGACTCGATGTAGCGACCGAAATTGAGGCTGAATGAGATGTCCAGACCTAAGAGATGGTCTGTAACCGGCACGGAGATATTTCGGAAAGTCGGAGTCAGATGGAATGGACTCCGTTTCGCCGAGAAGAGACAGTTTGTGTTTTAGAGGGATTGAACCCAACCAAGTTGGCTTCACCCCAGAGGGAAACAGCTTCCAGGGTTGCATTCACTCCCTCCACCATCGCTTCCCTTAAGGATTGGACGTCTGCATCAGACTTCACATCAGGCAGGTATCTCTCCGAAACTGTGCTGTCGTCTGCATACCCAAAGATACCGCGAGTAAGGAGAAGATCATTGATTTCCTTTCTCTAAATAGAGTTGTTCGATATTCAATTGGCTTCGTTGCCAAATCATTTAGGACACTCGACAAAATTCGGTTTCTGTTCTACAAACATAAAAATAATAATACACTCAATTGTAGTTGGTAAATTTTGACAATGGTCTATTAAGCAAGATGTAAATTCATTAGTTACAGTTACATTACCGTCTGCTTCGTGCCAGCAGTAAATTGATACATTTTTAGATAAAACATCATAAACAGTGAAATTATGACATTGTAACTTCAATTTATAGTACAAAGGCACTTGCTAATAGCTTTGGAGCAAGCTATACACTTTGCACATCGACTGTTATAACCACAATTTAATCACAGAGCGAGAACCCGTCGAAGCTAACGTAATTTTTATATTACTACCCCCTTCTAACACCTACAATCGGAAAATAATCACGCGATCTATGCATCCCTCTCATTCTAGTGCTTCTATTGGTTAGTTATTTCGAAAATTTTACCAATAACAATTTTTACCTATCTAGCGCTTTTACACATAAGATATTTTAAATGCCAACTTTACTTGAGCAAGCACTTAGGATATACTAGTGGCCCTCCCTCGCTTCGCTTCGGTGTAGAGCTGTATTGTAAACTATAGTTTTTGTTCTCAGGCTTGTGTTATAAAGAATGACTTTATTTATATAATTACACGTGTTATTGTGAGTCAACCATAAAAGATAGACATATGCTGTTGCGGGATATTTTTTAGACAATTTTATGTAGAATATTTCCGTCATACATGATTTCTATGTAACTTTAACCATTAAGGCTGCACCCGCGACGGAAGCTTAAAAAATGGAGTAACTTCTCCCGTTTTCCCAACATTTCCCTTCACTACTCTGCTGCTATTGATTGTAGCGTGATGAAAAGTATACTATAACCTGCCCAGGAGTATGAAGAATAATTGTACCAAGTTTCGTTAAAATCCGTTGAGTAGTTTTTGTTTCTATAAGGAACATACACACAGACAGACAGACAGACAAAAATTTTACTGATTGCATTTTTGGCATCAGTATCGATCACTAATGACCCCCTGATAGTTATTTTAAAAATATATTTCATGTACAGAATTGACATCTCTACAGATTTATTATAAGTATAGATTGAATAAAGTAAATAAATATAAATTAAAAAGACTTATTCACATGAGAGTTCTTGCTTTCGGTGCAGCGCCAAAATTTGAAATAAACCCGTATAAAAAAGGTATTTCGACAAAAATGACACATAGGAGGTCTTGAAGTCGCAACGACGATTTCGAGATCTTCCATGCTTCGAAAGGCACGTTAAGCCGTTGGTCCCGGTTGCATCTGCAGTCGTTAGCACCCATCAATCCCCACTGGACCCCCATTCCTGTCGCGTATTAAGCCAATTGGCTTTTATATTGAAAAGAAGTTAAGTGAACTAAGGCCAGCAGAACTTAGATTTATTAACTTCCTAAAAACAATCGCAGAAATCAATCTCATAGAGGATCATGGCCTCTCTCTATTCCATCCATTGGAAAGGCAGTGGAGACATTACTAAACTGACGATAATGATAAATGATTTATTAATTCTAAAGAAATAAAAAGTTGAAAAAAATCTCAACATCAAACAGAAATGGCCTAATCTCCCTATTCTTATTCATAGGGAAGGCCTGTGCACCATCAATGAGGACATTAATTGGCTGACAATAATTATGATGAAGAAAAGTGAAGTAATGAGAGAAGAATTTGGACCTATTTATTACTTAATAAACAGTTGACAAATATCTCAACGTCGAACACACATGCCCTAATCTCCCTATTCTTATCCATAGAGGCCTGCGCCCCAGCAGTGGGGACATTAATAGGCTGATGTTGAGGATGAGGTACTTACGTGTTGACATGTGGTAGGTTTCTTTGCCACTTTTACTGGAGCCTTGTTCAGATTTCTTTTCCTTACCGCTGATAATGTTTTTTCTACCCTCGTCTTTCTAGTAAAAAATAATTATTAAAATTTTAATTAGGTATACCATAACAAAAATCATTACAAAATAAGTAAAGTTTCTTTTTATATAATTTCACTTCAAACTATTCTATTTCTAGCTTACCTCGTATATAGTTCTTCTGTATTCTGAAACAAGTAGGCAAAGTTTACAAAATGAATATTAAAGCGAAGTTAAATAAACTTTGATTGTTACAAGATAATCTTACCATAGTGTTACAAGTCAAAGGACGGGACTACTTTAAACCACTAGATATGAAAAACGGGATTATATTACCACTAGATAATAAATGATGTATTTTAGCAATGATTTATTTTTTTTTACATCAAAATAAATACTAATATTAACTATTGACTGCAGACACTTATTTTCCCAGTTTTACTTTAGACTTTGACATGAAAGTGGTACATTTTGATTATTAGTGTTCTGTATATAGAGAAAGCTTTTGCCCAAGTGCAGCGGGAAAGATTATAACATGAAAATAAATAATGAGAAGTACTTACTTGACTTTCCTCACAGTCTTTTATATCCAAATCTGCGTCATCCTTCATAATTTCATTCATGGCCGTTTCGTCTTCTAGCAGTTTACTATAAAAGACAAACCCAGAATAAGTGCCCGTATTAGCCCGTAGTGCCAGTATTCATCATCAGCCTATTAATGCCCCCACTGCTGGGGCACAGGCTTTCCCTATGGATGGAATAGGGAGATTGGGCCATGACCCACCACACGGGCCCAGTGCGGATTGGTGGGTGCTAACGACTGCAGATGCAGCCGGGACCAACGGCTTAACGTGTCTTCCGAAGCACGGAGGAGCTTGAGATAGAAAATTTTGGTCACCCATCCAATGACTGACCACTGCGAAAGTTGCTTCAGTTCAACGATCGCAGCCGAACGCGCTAACCACTTGCGCCATCGAGCTCCTCGAGTGTCAGTATTATAACTGATGGATTGTGAGTTTTAAAAGAGGATTAAAATAATGTTACGCAAATATGTATCATGCATCATCATTCTTAAAATTTCCGATCCGAAACGTCAAGAATAATAGAAAAAAAAGTACCTAGATTTGTACAAAGTGTCTTATTAAATGATTGGTTTGAAAATATGGGAATTTCACTTTAAGAACTGTAAGAGAATGCTAGAAATATAAATGCCTTACTCTTCCGTATGCATAGCCGAGTGTAATAAATGTCTGTCGTAAGCCTCTGTTGTTTCAAACTTTATCTTGCAAACGTCACAGTACGTGCTGCCATCTACTTCGACCGTTCCCTGTAGAAATAAATAATAATATAGTACCGCCATAAAAAAATAGAGGTTGGTGGTAGAAGAGCGAAAATTTTGGGTTATATTTATTTTTGTATGATGTATCATAAAAAAAATAAAAAATTATCTAAAATTAAAAAAAAAAATTAGGGGTAGGATTACCCTTAACATTTAGGGGGATGAAAAATAGATGTTATCCGATTCTCAGACCTATCCAATATGCACACAAAATTTCATGAGAATCGGGAAAGCCGATTAGATATAGGTTTTTTATAAAAAATCATACACTTGGCCCAGGTGTCGAATGTGCACCTTCTGTTGTTAGGGCGGATGTACTAACTGCTATGCTTCTCGGGAACAAAGGCGCAATAAAATGTAATTTATTATGTTAAAAGGGTGGTAAACAGGCCGTATGCTTGTTTGCCTTGTTTTCGCTTGATGGTAAGCGGCCACCATAGCCTATAGACTTGCGATACCAAAATTATAACTCGCGCTGTATTCTACCCTGACCCTTACTATTTTGAGATTGAGTAACAACCTTACAAACTTTTTCATTTATAATATTAGGAGGACGGAACCAAAAATATAACTCTCCAACACTTACTGAGTCAGTGATGTGTTTGACTTTCTGATGCAAATACAGTCCTAATTCACTGACAAATGATTCTCCACATCGTGGGCACATGTGCTTACTTCTGTGCGTCCGCAGATGCGTATAGAATGTTGACATATGCCTGACAACAAAATGTAATGTAATTAGTATGATGATAACAAGCATTTTTATGTGTGAATTTATAACAGTTTTTCTAGATGCTTATAATTTTATTTTACCTACATCAGGGTTTTATATTTTGGCATGATTCTTTATATTTTAAATTAAATTTGTGAAATTATGCCTGTCATTATCTATACAGAATGAAAAAGAGAGATTGATATTTACTTTCGATTGAAACATCGAGCAGTTACATGCTTAAAAAATAAAAATTATAAGATTGATGTTAAATTTTGTTTAAGTTAAGAAATCATGCCCGAATTGCCATTATGAATTTAATTCTTAATGACCTTTTTAAAAATATATTGAGGTCATAAATGATTCACATTACGATTATGGTTAGGGTGGCGGACTATATCAAAGATGAGGTGCAAAATTAGATAGACTTTTTTATACTTACTTGAATTCTTTATCACAATGAGGACATTTTCTTATAACACCATTATGATACTCTTCATGGAATAATGCAGACTTACTAAAAAAAGATATTTATTAATATTATATTTGTTCATTTTAATAACTTGCTAAATATAACTAAGAACAATATTTATATATAAAGTTCAGTGGTCAAAAATTAACAAGATGATAGATTTATGCATTGAACACTAATGCAATCAATATTGCCTATGTTAACCAAAAAATTAGAAAGTATATGAAATACAAACTGCGCTAAAAAGTGGTTCCATGGACACTACAATCAAGTGGCCGGGGCAAAAAAATTAATCAACTCACTGATTGGTTGGGATTTTCGTTTAACATTATCTTACCCAATGAATGGATAGCTGAAGTCATTAGCAGATATTTGTTTTTTTAAATTATTTGGTTATGTCCATGTGGATGTCACGTTTGTATTGAAGTTAAGACAACTTAACTTCACTTAACTCGTACAAACGAGTTTAGAACCATGTTTTAGCAGCCTTTGTTAAAGAGTAATGCTTCTTCATCATTTCTGATTCAATGATGTTAAAAGCTTAATTATAAAAATGTTACTCACTCTATATTACATACTAAATTGCACCGCAGACATTCAAACTTGTTATAGTGTAGCCTCATGTGTTTGTTTAGGAAATAAGCTGTCTTGAATCGGCACTTGCAGAAGCGGCAAATTAAAGGACCAAGTGCCTGTGGGTGCAATAAAATGTTATACTTTACTATTATAATATTGCATGATAATATTTTTGTTAAAATTAAGGTTAATATATTATTTCCTTTCAACCTTACGAAATTTTATTGATTAAAAGTAATAGTTTGATTCTGACGACGTAGCCTGTAAAGGCTACGAAACATCAATAAATAAATAAAGTTTCGTGCATTAATCCGTAAAAACTAGTTTTATTTATATAGGAATTTATTACATCAAGGGACCCCTAACAATAACAATAACATATACAATAACTTTTAACTCTTGAAAACGCACATTATAAAACACTTGGTGGATATTCTCAAATATTTTCAAGAACGGATAGATTTACCTCTCCATGCTTTAATGGTATATGCCTATCCAACATGCTCTTTTGTGAGAAACCTCTAAAGCAATCTGTGCATTTGTATGCCGCTCTTAAATACTTCCTATCTTGTGCCTTAGCTTGAAACTCCACCATAGCTTCATCGTCAGTCAAAAAAGATTTCTTCCAAAAACCTGATTCTAAGAACTTTAGAACCTTTGGTTTGCCACCCTTTGCTTTGGTGAATTCAACATTTTTTCTCTCCAATGCTATATTAGACTTTTTCTTATTGGCTAAGACTTCATCATCGGAATCAATTTCTTCATTCTTCTTTTTAGCAGCTTTTCTTCTTCTGGTCTGTCTTGCTTTAGATTGTTTAGGTTGTTTGTTTGCCTTACTTTGTTTTGTTTTTTGTTTGGAAGTCTCTTCTTCCTTTGGAGGGTCAGTATCAATAGTTTCAATATTGCAGGCAGATGGGAAAATGACATCATTATCTACAGCCAACACTAAGTCTGGTTCAGGTTTAGTTTCTTCAATTTTCTCAACTTTTTCACCTATACTTTCACAATCAGTGAATGAATGATCTGAATAATCATTTTCTACATTGTTTTCTTGAGTTTCATTTGAGTATTCATCTTCTACATAATCATGCTTTAAAATATAAGTGTTAACTCTTTTATTTCTTTTTAATATGTCTAAAGTACCATACTTTAATTTCTGACTTTGCTTTTCCCTAAAACTACTGATGGCTGATTGGGTTATCTGAAAACAACCATATTTGTTAAGACTACTTACTTATTACTCACAAGCTTTTAAAGTTTTCAAATGAAAGATTTATTTTCTAAGTAGACACACATTAGTTATATTACCTTTCCTTTCCAGAGCATATCTGTAAGTGCATTGTGACTGTAATAACACTTTTCTCTAAATCGGTGGAATTTGTGTAATGTTGCAGCACATTCATAACAAAAGTATTGGGGAAGTCCTTCTGCTTTTTCAACCTAAAACCATGTAACAAATTAATTAATTAGTGTTTCATTCATAAATTTTCAATTTATGAATGAAACACTAATTATTTACTTATTATTAAAAGCATAAAATTAAAAGCCAATTACTTTTTCAAAACAAACCTATTTTTACCTTTGCTTTATAAAATTAAATACATAAATAACATTAAAACTCACTGGTACTGTCATAATTTCTTCATAGTATTTCATAAGAAAATACTTATCAATCTTAAAATATTTGGATTCCCCTCGAAGGCATATACGACATACTTGTAAATCGAACATTTTGGCTTTACTGCACACATTGAAATTTATATTAGGAAAACTTTTTAGCGAAATCTCTTTAGGTCCACGATTGTTTCAGAGAGAACCATTTTGGATTTATGACATTTGATTGTCAATGTCACAGTCAAGTTGACACTGTTTTTTTAGATTCTCCTTTTCCAGGAAAGGCAAAGGGAACAATACCCATACAGCTAAGACTTTAGTTTTATTAATCTTCTTTTTTTGCATTAGAATGTCGGTGTGACTCATTCTAATGTTTCTTGGAGTGTTTGGCACGAAATGTATTGAGTTGGCTTTTCCGGTAAGCTTCTCTGAGGTAGTCAACACTACAATAAAATTCTCACGTTCACTTGACCAGAATAGCGTATATTTTAAAGAGAACTTTATTGTGTTGACTACCTCACAGAAGCTTGTCGAGAAAGTAGACTCAATACATTTTGTGCCAAACACTCCAAGAAACATTAGAATGTGTCACACTCACACTGGTGTCGATTCTAGCATGATTCTCTAAAATTAAACTTAAAGACAGTAGTATGTCCTGGTTATTCTCTATACAGAATGAAAAGGAGAGACTGATGTTAAATTTAGTTTTAAGTTAAGAGAATGACTCCAGAATTGGCACCATTCTCATGCTAAAAAAAAAGAAGATTAGTCAGCAAGACAAAAATAAGACGATGGCTGCATGGCTTTGCCTTTGTCTTTCTCAATAGGGAAGAATAGTATTAAAACAAACTGTCCATAATGGACTGCTGCTAGTCACAATTTCACCATATAAGGACTGCCGTCTAACTGTCAAAATCCATAGTAATTTGACAATTGAGCGTGATAAAAACGTGATATAAATCGTTTAAATCATATCGGTGCTCATGCTAGGGGGGGGGGGGGTAGCTTTCCAATTTATATAATTAATTATTAATTATAGCGCATTATGCGGCATAATGCATAACGTTGAGTGTTTCAACTACAGCAACGCTTCGCACAATCGAGCGCTCCCAAAAGTTATGCTTTCGTGTGATGCGTGCAATCGTACCAACTCAGTGACAGAAAATTAACAAGTGTTTTTTCTTTAAGTTGGCATTGATCGAAATGTTTTATTTATATGTTATCGTTAGTTATATTATTTATTGTTGAAAAACTATTAAAACTTTCGTTTCATTATAGTTTTTTTTAAATAATCAAAGTTAATTCAAACAGTTAAAAAATCAAATATAAAAATATGGATGAAGGTACAAACATTGACTTTTTTTTCAACACTGAACGTAGCGCACTCTGCTGGTGTCTTTGAAAACTAATTCACGGTCCAATAAAGCATCAGCATAATTCGGCATAGTGCGCCACTGAGTCGCATTATGCTCTGTAATTGGAAAACCATCCAAGTTTTTTTTGGTGTGACCAGATTTTTGACTATGCAGAGTTATCGTGGTCGGAATTTAAATGTCTGCTGTTTTGACCTTTGACGTCTGGCAATACTGGCAGTTTGGTTTGGGTTTGGCAGGAATTGATCAGTTTCTTGGCCTAACAAATTATTTCGTTTATTTAATTTCTCTATTTCTGTGATTAGTTTTGAGTAAACGTTTTATTATGGATGATCTAAAAGTGTGCCGGATATGTCTTCGGACCGATAAGTTTGCGAAATATTACAGGTTGGAAGAGTTTTTCCTGAAGTGTTATTATGAAGAGATTACTACCATTCCGGTCAGTATAACACCTGTATTTCCCGAAGTTTCGTAATATATAATTAAGATTTATTCGAAGGCCGATTATACGTAAAATTTTTAATAATCACGTAAAATGTTTAAATGGAACCGGCTGCTGTCCAGAGTGTTAAATGCCATTTCAAGAGCAGTGCAGATTTTAGCTACTGTCTTATTATTTCATTGTTACCCTAAACTTATGTAAACAAACAAAACATTATTTTGTTTTGATTTTTATTAGCACATAATATTCATTGATCATGACTTATATTATAGGATAAACTAAATCCATAGTTAAGATAGGTAGGTGACATTATGATTGGGGAATAAACTTTTAACAAATAAAATTATAGGATTTAAATTTCACTTCTTATTTCTTTTTGAATGTGGCCTAAGTACTATTATAGTGAAAAGTGAAATCAATTACTTTAAAACTTCCTGTAACACTCATGCATAAGATTTTAAATTTGCTCTTTGGTTGATTTTATTGCATGCCCCAGTGCGCATAGGAAATAATATTTATTTTCTTTTGTAGGTTACAAACAATGATGGTCTTCCTAAGTACTTCTGCTTTCAATGCTCAGCAATACTAAACAAATACCATTTTTTCAAAGAAAAATGTTGCTTTGCGCAGAACACACTTAAACAGATGGCGAGAACGGCACCAGTAAGTTAAATATTGCTTAACCTATTTTTTGGTAACTGTAATAAATATCTACATATCTTACTCTTATAAAACCTGTACATGTACTACATCAATATAATTTAGCATTTCCATCCATTTTCACTCTTGCTAAAGTCACCATCTTTATTTATTATATTTTATATATGTTTATTGGAGATAAAATAATTGAATAACTTAATACAATCAGTACTAAAAATACTCAAATTATTCCTAAGAATACTAAATTCAAATATTTCATTAAATTAAATTAAACTTACACTTATTCTTTTTTGCCATACTAGGCAAAGCTACTGATTATATAATGCGCATATAATTGTTGTCCTTAGTTCTGAAAGATTACTACAATTAAAACCGGATGGTTTTTTGCTGGTTAAGTTACTTATGTCTTATGTAAAATTTTGCTCTATGTTGGCATTCCTAAATTTTTTATCATAAATTACAGCTTACTTACAATAAAATCTGCAATATGTATTCAAGACAGATGCCCATTATAAGGAGTGGTACCATAGAGATCTTAAAAAGTAACAAAAATGTTAAGACTTACAATTTTGAATATAAGGAACAAACACATAGTTCAAAAACAAGATCAAAACGTCTGAAGAAAGAGAGTGATAGTGAAAGTGATTGTTATGAAAATGATGTAGATTTTTATCCTGATAGCAACAGTTCAGATGATGATGTGCCAATAAAGGAACTCTCTTTAGACCTTAAAAAGGATAATAGTGGAGAAGTCGATATATTTGAAGAGTTCAATGAGAAAGTAGAAGAACCGGTTGTGCAGGAACCCCTAGAAAAAGAAGAAGTAAAAGAAACACAAGAAATACCCAAAATTCTAAAGAATCTCTTAAGTAAACAGTCTAAACCTAAAAAAAGTACTTCCAATAGGAAGAAGTCTTCTTCGAAAGTTGTCAATGATCCAGACAAAAAATATAAGTTCACAAAAGCAAAGGATGGCAAACTGAAAGCACTACAGTTTCTTGATTCCGGTTTCTGGAGGAAGCTTACCCTGTCTGAAGAGGAGGCAATGAAAGAGTTTCAGGCTAAAGGACAGAATGAGAAGTATTTGCGTGCAGCTCATAAATGCACTGATTGTCACAAGCCATTCTCACAGAAAAATATGCTGGATAGACACCTACTTAGAAAACATGGAGAGGTGGATAAAATTTTATCTTACTTTATTTATTTATTTTAGTCCTATAATACTATTCTGAAATAGAATGCTACTTTGAATTTATTTTTTCTTCTTCATTTTACATTTCATCAAAAAGTAACAAATATACTGATATATTATATTTTACACTTACATCCGGTTTCTGAAACGCATGTCAAATATTGAATTAGTTGACAGACTGTCATAATTAACTATTTGTTGAGCAACTGTGGGTTTCTGAAAAGATACTTACCGAAAAATTAACGAATCTACTGTTAAGGCACGATTTATTTATTAGTCTGGCCACCCTAGCTAAAACCAGTCACTTTCATTCGATCATTCATGTTTTGTTTCTGTCTAACGCATAGCTTTGTCTCTATCTTTTGACAACTTATAAGTGACTTTTATTTATAAGTCAGAAAAATAGAAGCGATTGTGTGTACCGAAAACATTGAAATTTATTTTCATTTGTAAAGTTTTTACATAATATGTCACGAAAAAACTATACGGAGCGAGAAAAGAGGGAGCTTTTAACAATAGTGAATAAGTAAGTACCTAATAGGTACAAATCAGTTGTTCAAATCAAGCTTTCTAATCTATACAAAGAAACCGATCTGCTTTTGGCATTTAAAATTTGTAAATATATTGATAATATATATTTCAATGTAGGTACAAAGCAATAATAGAAAATAAGTCTACCAATGCAGTGACGGTGGAAAAAAAACGTGACTTGGAAAAATATTGAAGAATTTAGAAATAAAAATTAAAGAATTGGAATTTACTTCTAAAGCCAATAAAAAGTAAAATAATTATAGTGTAAATCTGATATAAACTACAATATAAAGATGTTTGTTTGTTTGTTTGTTTGAACGCGTTAACATCAGGAACTGCTGAACTGAATTGAAATATTCTTTTTATGTTGGGTTAGCCAAAATTCTATGAAGGCTTTAGTGTACAATAATTGTTCGTTTTAAGTTCCAGGTGTGTCAGTTTTCCCATTAGTTGATGGAAAACAGATTTTGAAATCCTGTAGCGATCCTTAAATTCTTCATCATTGTAATGAATTACAGGATTTATTCGTTTCCGGAACTGGCGAGTTGGTGCCAGATCTTCCTCGTCACTAGATAGGGATATATCGTCAACAGATAAATCTGACAACATTTTTTACTACCACTACAACAATCCTCTTACCAAAATATGAGTAAAATTTCTTTTGACAGTCTGTTAATTGATCAATTTTCACCAATTACTTATTAAAACACAACAAAACGTTAACATGCAGTTAACATACAAAAAAGCTTTCCGGAAACCAAAAACTACGGCAATCGGCCATTAATTCGAGATTTGACATTTGCAACAACAAATCATTGACAAACTGTCACTTGGCTCATTGAGAAACCCAAAGTGCATTTAAATAGAGATTAACAACTTGTTACGTAATTTTTTCGATGACATGCGTTTCAGAAACCGGGTGTTAGTTACATAAATTGAAAATTAATGGCCACACTTAGTGCTTGGCTAGGCTGGCACAGCGCATTTCAAATATATGAAATCTTATGCAAATCTTAGCGCGTTCATGCAATTGGCTGCAGTGCGCGGGCGACAAGCGGCAAACGATAGCTCATTTAGGCCTTAAACACATAACCGCGTTGCGGCGCAATTTCCAGCGTTATGACGTCATACTTGTTGACATTGATTCAGTTTGTTTCTATCACTCTTGCAAACAACACGTGTCAATCCGGAAGCAGTTTTAAAATTAAAATGTCTGACTTTGATGTCGACCTTACAGTCAAGCCCAGCATTTCCAAAGCAGTAACAGGTTTCCTTCCTTTAAAATTTTCTGTATATATTTTGATAACTCGCTTAATTGCTCTTCGAATAATTTTACACTCATTCTAAAGTAGGCGAAAAATTTGTGTTTTGGTCTATCTTTAATGCTTTGTATTTTCGAGAAAAGTACTTGCCATCGGGATTCATAGCCTTATTAAATGGATGTATCCAGTATCTTCTTCCTCGTATATTTAAAACAGAGTAATATCTTTTTAATAACAAATAAGCAATAAGTTTCTTACGACGATCCATGGCAGAGACACGTCTATCCACAATAAAAAATCACGAGAAACTGGTTATTCTACCATACCATGCAACGCTCTTTTTCGCGACACCGCAACGCAAACTGCCAATTTTAGGGTTGCGGCGTCGCAACGCGGTTATGTGTTTCGGCCCTTACAGTTCATCCCTTTTACTGTCTTGGACACATATGTTGTTCATGCGGGAATTCCAAAGGAATAGAATATAAGCTTTCATCAAAAGTGATGCGTCTATACAAATAAAGCATTTCACAGTTCATCGTTCACAAATCATTGCAAAATGAATCACTTTTGATTTCCGTCTAATTCTGCTTTTAAGCTGGAACTAGACGGTTCATTTTCGATGCTTGTTCGAAAAAATCGAAAATGAAATGCCTTAATTGATGTTCATCAGAATGTGCCTTCGCGATGAAAGCTTCCGGCTCCCGATTGTTTTCACTAGCATCGATCATGCATCTGTCATCATCATTCATCGGCTACGAACGACAAGTGCAACGTCTACGTCACGCACTTTTTCGCACCCGCACTGGTTCTGCGCCCGCGTCGCCAGCCTGGCTTAGCACTAAGAAAAGCCAAATATATTAAATTTGATATAAACTCACAAGTTCTCTTATTTTAATTTCATCTCAAAGAAAGATACAGCTTAAACTTCAGTCAAACATAAAAGCGGAATTGACTCCTCTGAGTGTGGCCATAATATTTAGTTATTATTTTAACAGTCCGTTGGCTCTCTCGTTTGTCGGTTCTGCAAGGTGCGATTCAGACGAGCTTGCTTCCTCAGCAAACACATGAAGCAGCATCTAACTAAATACGAATGTCTTCGGTGCAACTTAGTATGTAATGTTGAGTGAGTATAACATCTATAACACAAATAGTTACGAAAGTTTTAACAGTGTATGTAATTTAAATTGATTGTGAATCTTCTATTTAGCATGATTACATAGTTTTTATTGCGATAGAGCCAACTATTCTTACAAGTATCCTAACATGACACAATGAAGTTAATACACATTGAATAATCAAGAAATTAAAGTCCTATGAATCATCGTCATCACCAGATTATTAATGTGGCACTGGCGTTCCCTATGGACTAAATAGAGAAATTGGGCCATGACCTACCACGCGGGCCCAGTGCGGATTGGTACGGCTTAAAGTGCCTTCCGAAGCATGGAGGAGCTCGTGATAACAAGTTTTGGTCACCCATCCAATGACTGACCATTGCGGATGTTTCTTAACTTTCTTGATCACAGGCCGAACGCGCTATCCACCTACGCCATTGAGCTCCTATAAATAAAAACAAACATTCTCTAAAATTGCTTTTATTATCTACACTAGAAGGGCTGTATTTTATTAGAGCACTTCATTTTAATATAGCTATTTACGGGATTGTTACCTTGTTTTTTGATGTGTAACATCTTTCCTCTCGCTTTGCTGCAATTTGTGGGAGTGATTTCGTGAAATGGGACGGAAGTGTGTAACAGGAAGTCGCGAAAGCGCGCGCTATTTGATTTGATTTTAGAACATATTTTTAAATGGGTTATTCCGTTTGTAGTAGGTAGGTTTTATTTCTTTTTTTACTAATATAAGGTGAGGTTTCAAATGTTACGCATCTTACGCGACTACTGCAAGGCTCGCACGTTGTTTTCGGCACTGTTGCAAGACTACAACAGTGCCGAAATATCGGAGACTCGTAAAAAACAAGGTACAATCCCGTTAAAAGCTATAATGTTAGTGACCATGAAAGTTTAAAACAATATACTTCATTATATTTTGTTTCCAGAACAACTGCATTATTTCACGAAGAGTATCATAGCGGAGTGATCAGGAAATGCCCACACTGTGATAAAGAATTTAAGTAAGTTTTATTTTTTGCAATTTTTTTTGTTGTGTTACTTTTTTATGTTAAAAGTGTGGTAAACAAGTGTATGGCACGCTTGATGGTAAGCGGTCACCATTGCCTATAGACGCTTGCGACACGTGAAGTTGCTACTTCCCCAGATGGGCGCTATTGGAATAGGGTATTTGACGGTGTTAAAAATAAAGTGCCAATTGTTAGCATCTGTGTTTAGAATGAATATTGGCAGGGGTTTTTACTATTTTTACAAAAAAAATATTCATAATTTTACTAAAAACTACCGAAAAAGATAATAGTTTTCTTATCTATTGTCACGTGACCCAAAACGCTTGGTATTGACGGAGCCTAAAATGACGTCACACGCAAATAAACTTTGTTTAAGTTAAAGGTTAAAGTGACATTACATTGTATCGTTTGACGTTTTAATATCAGTCGTGTGACGTCACACACTAGTAAGACGCCATATTGTCCAGAGAAACGTTTTCGTGGCAACTTGAAAATGGAGTTTTTGATTTGGTTATTTTTACTGAAATACACAACAGAATGATGAATAACCATTTTTTACGGACTCCATAAACATTAGTCAATAACGTGAGATCGATTTTTAAAACTTGTCATATACCCTATTCGCGCAGACTCATCTTTTCTGCCTGTGAATATGAATGAATGATTTTACTCATCTCACAAAGTAACATTACAATTAACAAAATAACTGGAGACTGTACTATGTACTAGGTTACAAAACCTGTGTTACGACCCCCAGGCTCAAAGCCTTTAAAAGTCCGTTAGCTTGTTGCAGATTATATCTTTTAAGTTGGCTTGCATATTATTATGTTTATAAAATGTCATGTAACCTTCCCAGACACTTATCAACGTTCTACACGCACTTGCGGACGCATCGCAGCAAGCACATGTGTTCCCTTTGCGGTGAATCGTTTGTTAGCCCATTAGGACTGAGGCAACATAAGAGACTGAAGCACGTTATCGTACCGGTGAGTAAATAATATATATTAAATAAATAAATAATAAATATTTCCAACACTCGCACCAATTAGCCTAGTTCCAAAGTAAGCACTGTAAGGCTTTTGTAATGGGATGCTAGGTTAACGGTTAGAATACAAATATTGTACATATATAAGTATATTTATATAGAAATACATATTTAACATCCATGAATGGAGTATAAATGCTCGTATTCATCATACAAACATCTGCCCCCACCGGGATTCGAACCCGGGACCACTTGAGTTGGCGACACCATGAAACCCAGCGTACAAACCACTCGGCAACGGTGGTCGTCTATATATAATACCTAAACCGTATAGCAGGCCAATCGAATTATTAATTTTCGAACGATCTTCCCTATTTCAATCGTGGTATAAACTTAGTCCAATTATAATTGGCTGTATAGTCTACGAAGAGCTGCTGAAAGTCCGATATCCTCCTCTAATCACTAAACAAAGAACAAAACCTGGATACACGAGAAAAGAACAAGAATCTACAAATAAAACAAAAAATTAATGAAAATCGTATGCCTCAGTCACAAAAGAACTCCCCAAACAACCTACGACCCAACGTTGAGAGTGAACACCAAAAAACTAACGAACTCAAAGCCATCAGGGAAACACTTACTGCCCTGATGAACCAAATGTTAATTATGACCAGAACGCTTACCGATCTAATTTCAAAAATGTCATCACATTCACAGAACTAAAACTGTGCGTATGGAATGTCAATGGCATTGAATGACATACTAAAAGAACTAATTGGGTTTTTTTTTCTTTTTTTTTATATTAAGGTAGGCAAATGACTCTACCCCACCTGATTAACACTTAACATCTTAAGTGGTAATAAAGTCCAAACGCGAAGATAGCTGGTACAGCAGTTAGAAACTGCTACACCAAACATCCTCACCTTGCCGGCCTGCAAAAATGCTTCTTCACGCCTCTCTTAAAGGACCCCAGGTTATAGGAAGGAGGGAACACTTGCGCGGGTAAAGAATTCCTCTATCTCTAGAATGGGCTCTATTTCGAGAGCTCATAGATAAAGCATTCCAGGAACCTGTTAGTCTAAAATCAAATGAAGAAATAACAGAAGCGGTACTTTACTTCAATGAAAAGGTGCAAGATGCAGCCTGGTGTTCAACCCCACCGGTACCACATAGAAGTATAGACAACTATGTAGCGAAACACATAGTAGACAAAGTAACCCAAAAAAGGAACATACGGAAACACTGGCAACAAATCAGAGACTATGGCGAAAAAACGGGTCAATCATGCCATTAGACTGTTGAAGCACATTCTAGACAAAAATCGTAATGACCGATTTCACAGTTATATCACTGGTCTGGATGCTACTGCTTCCTCAGATTATTCTTTATGGAAAGCCACCAGAAAACTAAAACGGCCTGTTAGTGTATCTCCCCCCTTAAGAAAATCTGACGGTAGATGGGCACGGACAGACCAAGAGAAAGCAGAAACGTTCTCGGAACATCTTTCAAACGTCTTTGTTCCTCACCCATATGAAGCCTCTCCAGAAGATGCCGCAGAAATTACTGCCCATTTACATACTCCTACAAACATGGAGGAAATGCCCTTTAAATTTACAAAAGCTGAAGTTGCCCGAATTATAAAAAAATCGGATCCAAAAAAGTCACCAGGATACGACCTTATAACGAATCGTATACTACAAGAACTACCAGAATCTGGCATAACTTTCCTGACGTCACTTTTCAACGCCTTGAACAGACTGCAGTTTTAATTAAGAATTGCTCTGCCAGACCACCTGTACGGAATACTGAAATCATTTCTAGAGCAGCATCATTTCGTAGTACAGAATGGGGAAGCTCTGTCTGAACTGCGTCCAATAAAAGCAGGAGTTCCACAGGGTAGCGTACTGGGCCCTGTGCTCTACTTACTGTTCACTGCAGATTTGCCGACATCTGAATCCTTAACTACTGGATCTTTTACTGATAATACTGCCATACTAGCTCCGCATAGTGACCCGGAAATACTCTCACAAACTCTCCAAAAAGGGCTAAATAGCATATCCCATTGGCTCAAAAAGTGGCGGATAAAAGCGAACGAAACAAAATCAGTCAATGTTACGTTTACTTTAAGAAGAATATCTTGTCCTCCAGTCAAATTAAATAACATTGAAGTTCCACAGGCAGATCATGTAAAATATCTTGGATTGCACTTAGACAAAAGACTTACCTGGCAAAAACATATTTTTACTAAGAAAAAGCAACGAAAATCTCAACTTTCACTTGAAAGCAAAACACTCCTGTACAAGGCAATATTAAAACCCGTCTGGACGTATGGGATCCAATTATGGGGCACCGCATCTAATTCAAACATTGAAATTCTACAAAGGTTTCAAAATAAATCCCTACGTACGATTACCAACGCACCCTGGTTTGTTCCCAACGAACTACTACATCATGACCTAAGAATACCTACTCTAAAGCAAGAAATTGTCCGCCATACTAAGTCCTATTAAGAACGAATCAAGACACGTCCAAATGCTTTAGCTCGGCCATTAATGGAGAACCACATCAAAGCGCGACGATTAAAGCGTAAAATACCACAAGATAATGTAGCCCAATCACAGTAAAACATACTGTTTAAACAATGAGGTTGTGACACAGGTCACATACTGAGCGCAATAGCACCAACCAACATACTGCTGAATGTCCCAAGAAGGAGACAGATTGTAGTAAACCGAGAAACAAAATAAATATATATAATTGCAACTCAAATTTATACGAAATCGGTATCGCGCTATTTTTTTATCTGTCAACTGAAATCTACTTTATGTTTTTGACTGAAGTTTACTGGAGTACGGTCCAATCGTGATACGTTTACATCTCATCTTTAGCGCGCTACGAAATGTCTTAAAAAGTTGCGGATCGTTTACGGTTCGTTTGGCCTCCCGTACCCTAAGCATGAACCAATATCGAATTTGAAGAGTAGAATTCGATCTGAATACGTCAAATGTCAAGAAGTTTGAACAGCGCCGCAACGGACGTGAGAATGAAAAATATTGCATTCAAAACTTCTTGACATATGACGCGTATCGAGATCTAACTCAACTTTTTGAATTCGATATTGGTTCGTGCTTAGGGTACTGGGCTGAGAACTCATGGTGCGGTTTTTACCTGCACCCAGTGTTGCTAAGACCTGATAAGCATACCTACATTCCAATACCTATTAACAATAGTGGTTTTGTTTAAGTGGTTTATTTTTATTTATTTTAATCAGTAGTATCTTAAAAATGACAATAAATGTTGGGTAACAAACTGACTACCATATAGCTCATCAACCCAAAAAAATGACAAGATTCTTCAATAATTTTTTAACCACAATGGTAAGTTTAAAAGGTTGAAAATAGCTTCTACAATTTTCACTTTCGTATCGTATACGATATATCGTGAATGTCATTATCACCTGTCCTCCTCTTACTTGTTTAGTTTTCAATACCATAGAGTAGGATACGACACGACAAACATGGCATTCGAATGTTGATTTTAAGTATATACCATTGTAACATAAACTTACCTCAGTAGCAATAACTCCAGCTTTTATTGTTTTTCCTCCATGCAAAGAATTTACACTACGAGCTTGTGTTCATGATACATTAGAAAAAGTTGATAACTTTGAATTAGTTTTGGTCGATAATAGGTTGCGCTAGAATCTAGATTTTTTATATTCATACCACCTTATTCCCAAGGCGAATAAAAGTTAGTCTTGGTTTAAAACTTATGTTGTCTCTTTCTTCTTTCAAGCAAACAAAAGTGACAGCATCAGTTTTAAATATTTAACTTCAGTGTACGTTTTGTAATAATGCGGATAGAGTTTTTTTCAGAATACTGAGATCGAGCTCAAGCAATTATGAACCTAAAGTAGTAGGGTAGGAGATAGGGAAGATGCATATATAATATTTATGAAAATTTTATGATTAAAATGTTAAAAAAATATAAAAGAAATGCCACTGCAACGTTTTTATTTTACATAATGTTGTTTTTTAACAATTATTACGAATTAAAAATACTTGAAACGGAACGTATTTTAAAACACCAATCAGCGTTTAGTGACGTCACTCCTGTTATGACAACTTCTTTGAGGTTATGGTTGTTAAAGTTAATATTATTTTATGGGAATATTTATTGCGTTTTTTGACGTGACAACGTCTTAAATTAGGTTGCGGCTGGGAGTCACTTATGAAAAAGTGTAACGCTCGGTAACGTTACGATGAGTCTCTCGTGTTAAGTTTAAGTTTACATGTACAATGTTTTAGTAAACAAAATATATTTCTATAGTTAAAATTTGTGCAATTCTTATTTTCATTCAATTCCTTGTTCCTATTGTGCAATATAATTATATTCATATCAATAAATATTCTACCGAGAAAAAGACGTTGTCACGTAAAATCTTCGCCCGTAAAACCGACTTTACAGGCAACCATTTTTTTACATTTAATAAAAATGGAAGTTGCGTTTATCAAAGCAGACTCCAGGAATTTACCAAGAGTTAGCGTTGGCATGGTTATAACTATTTTGTCCAAAGTGCAGAGTTTTTAAGTGTAGAAATGAAAGGGACTAAATTACTACGGTATGTAAAAATCGTAGTTGTTAAACTTCGTATTTTATTCAGCGGCTTCTACAAATCTTACGGCGATAATGCAATCGGCTATGTCCAAATTAAAAGAGATGGAAAATTATGTACAGTAAAAGTTCGAGTTCTCCGGAGCATAAAGTACGTAAAGAAGGTTATCGTGTTACAGTTATTTTAAATGAAACGCAAAGCTTGGTTCAGTCCTGCCAATGTGAAGATTGTGCTACACATTTTAAACTTTATCTAATTTTCGACGTCATATTCCAACTGTAAAATTAAAAATATGTTATAGACAGGTTTTGTAAGTATTAGGTTGGTTACTAATGCGTTTTTACGTACAAGCAGATTAATTAAGCGTATAACAAGTATATTCGCCGACATACGTCAAAGTGATCTTCTCAGCATCGAATAATGGTCTTTGGAGAATAATTGTCATTTCTCTTCGCAGCTTGAAACCACTTTTTTTTCAGTTTTGGGTCAGAAGTTCCAGTCAAAAACAATTTATTTGGGAACTTTGTTGAAGTAGATTGGCACAAAACATGAGTCAACACGGCTTTTTTTTCGGAATATTAGTGGTATTGTTATGATCACATGATGTTGATGGATTTTTCAAAAAAATATTTCGAAAGTCGAAAAAATATGCAAAAGTATGAAATTTTAAAGCCAGCAATGAACAATTACGACCAGTGACTGACAGGAGTGACGTCATCGCAACCATAGGTTCGTTTTCGCGCGAAAATTTAAATTGTCAATTTAAAACCGCATTTTTTCCGATAAATCACAATGTTTTTATTTTTTAATATATCTGTGGTTTATTCTACATGGAATTCTTTAAAATGAAAACAAAAATAAAAATATTGCATCTTCCCTATTCAGTAAAATTGATTATTGACAGCGAGATAAAACATGACAAGGTTATTATTAGGAGATTTTTGTACCTACCTATAAAATAAAATCTTTTTTCTGCCTATCAAAATAAATATGTAATAACAATTCATTTGCCTTTAGGATAATCAAGTGACAGACGCTGAAAACAACACATACTGTGAAGTATGCAAGATAACATTTGAGACTAAAGAAGCGTACACCAAGCATTTGTTGCATTCAGCTATGCATACAGACGAGTGAGTACATTTTAATTCCAATTCTGCCCTGGTAACATGAGTAATGGTAGAGGCAAATTTCTTGAGCTACATACACTTCTGAACTCTCGCGTTTCATTATAAATATACAATATTGTTCGAGTTAAAACGCGCAGATTAATAAAGGTTTTCGATCCTTCTTTATCTGGACGTTTTGACCAGGTTACACCGGTCGTGGTTATCGGGCGACTGAGCTAAACCATTGACAAATAAACTTGCGCAATAGTCGTTTTTGTATGACAAATTATTGCTGCGCAGGCTCCGGTGTCTGTGGTTCAGCTCAAGAAGTTTACCGCTACCTATACGTAGAATTTTTATAGGTCTTTTTGAAACAGGCTTAAAGTGCACACAATACCTACATTTCGTTTATATATTTTTTTACCATAATTAATATACAATAACAGGTTTTAATAATATAGTGTTAATAAGCTTTTATTTCACATTGGTACAAAACGCATTTAGAAAGTAGCCCGAACGACGGGCCCGAATGTCGACATCCTCGAAAATGATCACCTAAACTTACCGATGTTGATTTTGACAATCCTTGTCAGGCTAGTTGCGAATAATCCTGAGGTCCAAGCACGAATTTTGATAACTCCGTAAACCTATCGCATCGTCAAAGTTTCGATACAAAATTTGATAATGACGATACGATTATAGATCTGTCAAAAATAGTGCTAGGACCTCTGCTTGAAATCAAAACAGCGTGAGAATGCCTGCAAACATTACATCAATGTGTAAGTGACAAAAATGACGCCATGATCTGAGCTAATTGCTTGGGCGCGGTAGTTGAGTAATGGGGCAATACGTTTTCTGGTATTAGTCTATGCCTATGTATTTATTAGAAACGAACAGAAAAGTTACCACTCGCTTCTCTTCAACGTGCATTATATTTCTGTAGTTTCACACCCGGTGGTAAGGCGATGGATGCAACATTAAGCGAAGAAATGTTTGAGGAAGGAGAGGACAAAATCGACGATAAGGACAGTGACGTGAGTATATACTATAATATCCCTAAAGATCAACTATTTAATGTGGAAAGCCAAGAATTTGGGCGAGGAGGATGCATTAGGAAGTAGGATCGAAGGATAAGATAGACGCTATGCCGCAGGGCCGAATTTAAGGCAGAGTCGGCGAGGCTGTGGCCCAGGGCCCCCACAATGGAGAAAAAAAAAAACTAAAAACTTCAAACCAGTAGGCTTATTCGCTAACTGCTTTTGTCAGATGGAAGTGCTAATCACTGAGCTATTAAGTGGTCCACTATTGCTTTATTATAAAATTACATTGACACTTGTTCTAAAAAGCATCGATGGATATACAATTATAATAGGACCACGCGCGCTGGCTTGTCAGCGTCTAACTGTGGCCACAATTCCAACGCGTACAAAGAAGTTTGGTTACTCATTTCTTTGTCGCACTATCCGTAAATGGAATGCTCTGTCCGCTCAGTTGTTCCCTTCTCTTACAACCTGGGATATTTTAAAAGAGGCGTGAAGAAGCAACATGCTGGCCGGCAGGATGAGGATGGCTGGTGTGGCGTGTAGAACTGCTGTATCAGCTATCTTCGCGTCTGTACGGTGTAAGGTGAACCTTCACTTAACATCAGGAGTCATTTGTCGGACCTATCTATAAAAAAAGATCTCTTTAGTTATAAATTTACTAAAAAACTTTATTTACTCTGTAAATGGCAAAAAAGTTTGCGAATGGGCCCGCTGGACCGAGTGAAAGAAGATTTAAACATCCAATGTTTATATGCTTAAAAATTAAAAATATAACAATTAATTTGTTTCTTAGGTTTTCACGCACATCACTCATTAAATACGACGATACAGATTCTGACGACGTAGCCTGTAAAGACTACGAAACGTCAATAAATAAATGAAGTTTTCGTGCATTAACCCGTAAAAACTAGTTTTTATTATTATATAATAATTAATGTTTTTGTTTCAGACCCCAAAACAACTATACGAAAGGTACAAAAATTACAATATTATAAATTATCGTGTTTGCACTAGGGTAGTTAACTCTTTAGTTTTTTTATATCAAATAATGATACCTACATAGCTGTTCGAGCTAAAATGATTCTTAAATCGAGCCGAGAGCTTCGGTGCAAAAGAATAGAAATGAAATAAAGGTGAAATTTGTTTGACCATCGACTTCTTAATTAGTTCAGTGACGTTTTGCCTATATGTAGCTCAAAACAAATTTACTGGCGCGCTGCAAAGAACTACAGCGGCATCTATTTTCACACATATGAACTACAATTTCCAAGTTTGTTTTATATGTTATTTATTTTTGTTATAATTAGTCACGTGATTTTATATTTTAGTTTATATTAATATGCATGCACAAATGGCGTATACAATAACTTATTACCAAAAATTAAATGCAAATGGTATTAAAAATCAGGGTAATTCTTGTTTGGCTTATAGAAAGTCTAAGGTGGAGAAGACACTATCGGCGGTAAGAAAAAGCAATTTACCCGCAGTCGCTGGTACGGGCTGGACAAAGAAACCTACCACTTGTCAACATGTAAGTACGTCTCCACCATTAAAATAAACAAATAAATTAAAACTCTTTTTTGAATAGTTCAACTTTTCGTTAGATTAACATTTCGAAACTTCTTTTCAATGTCGAGGACTGGGAAAGTAACTTAACAATATTGTTAAGTGTCGGGCTGGGGTTCGAAATCATAATGCCAGTTCTCGCTTGTCAGTTCTTTATTCAGAACACAGTGTTATTGTAAACAACAATATTAATTACACTGCACTCAGGGTACATTATACAAGCCCTTATATCATCGCATACGAACACCAGGCGGCCGGCCCATCGCCTAACGGGTTTGCTATCGCTAACACTATCGCTTACGATTTCATTTTGTCATATCTGGCCGCCTAAGGTTTTGAAATACCTTACGTGCATTTTATTTGATATTGTTATTACCAATGCAAAAGAAAAAAAAACCGGCCAAGTGCGAGTCAGACTCGCGCACCGAGGGTTCCGTACGAACTCAATTTAATACCTCTACGCGTTCATGAGAAAAGAGGTAGTAACTTTAAAATTTTCAAATTTATATACATATTATATACATTTTATTATATGATGTAAGTAAAAAAAATACGGTTTTACCAATTTTTTATCTGTACTATAAGACTTACTTCGTACCAAATTTCAAGATTCTAAGTTCACGGGAAGTACCCTGTAGGTTTTGATTCCCGTGCGAGTTTTTCCCCGTGCGAAGCGGCATAAACGGCTGTATCTTTTGATTGCTTTGGCTTAGAAGTTTGATTTTTTCACAGCTCCAAGGGACAGTAGACATGAGTATTATATATGAATTTCAGTTTGATGCCTCCACGCATTCCTGAGAAAAACGGTCTTGATAGACGGACGGACGGACAACAAAGTGATCCTATAAGGGTTCCGTTTTTTTCCTTTTGAGGTACGCAACCCTAAGACTACCCTAAAAGAGCGCGAGTTATTTGAAAACCTTCGGCGATCAGAAATAACAAAATGAAATCATAATCGATAACGATAGCCATAGCAACCGCGTGAGGCGATTGGCCCCCTGCACCGTAATCGCCTTTGTATTCGTTCCGAACTGGCGGCGGAATGTTCTATTGGGAACTAAGATAAGCCGTGCGCTCGTATATACGCCAGTCGACGCATTAGAGAAATAGCGGTGTGCATTTCGATAATCTCTGCGTCGAAAACTCAAACTAAACAGGAAGTTAAACAGCTACAATATTTTATAGTTAAAAAAATCCCTTAAAAATTTTTTTAGTGTGGAAAACATTTCGCATCACAATCGGCGTGTCGGAAACACCACTTGGCGGAACATTTGCGGGCGCCGTTCTATACGGAGAAGGATCGAGTTATATGCGAGATTTGCGGCGCGTCGTTAGCGGTAAGGAATAGCGATATTCTGATAGTTACAATTAGGAATAATATGTGTTGTGCTGCATAGTATACTTGAGAGAGTAGCTTGAGAAGGATCGGGTCCTCTGCGAGATCTAAGGCGCACAGTAGGCGGAAACGATCAAAACTACGCGCGAGGCAGTAAATCTAATCGAAATGAAATCAGCACTGCGGAAATTCACTTCTTTAGGGGTAGAAACCACCCCTATCAAGCCCTAAGCAGGCTAAACCACCAGATTCTTCTTCTGTATCAAATAGGTCGTTCGGCAGCATCACGGCACCGTCCGATAGTGAGTCATCATTATCAGCCTATTAATTTCCCCACTGCTGGGACACAGGCCTTCCCTATGGATGGAATAGGGAGATTGGGCCATGACCCACCACGCGGGCCCAGTGCGGATTGGCGGGTGCTAACGACTGCAGATGCAGCCAGGACCAACGGCATAATGTGTCTTCCAAAGCACGGAGGAATTCGAGATAGAAGATTTTTGGTCACCCATCCAATGACCGACTACTGCGAAAGTTGCTTAACATCAATGATCGCAGCCGAACGCGGTAACCACCCGCGCTATCGAGCTCCTCAGACAGTGACGACAGTGAGTAAAGACCCTGATCAACGGTCCAGTTAAAACGGCAGTTTAATAGCTCGTCGGTAAAGCTGGCCGGTGTATATATTTTTTTTATACATAGGTCCGACAAAGGACTTCACCCCACCTGATGTTAAGTGAAGGTGAAATCCAGACGCGAAGATAGCTGATACAGCAGTTCTACTCGCCACACCAGCCATCCTCACCCTGCCGTCCTGCATGTTGCTTCTTCACGCCTCTTTTAAAGGATCCCAGGTTGAAGAAGGAGGGAACACGTGAGCGGGCAGAGCATTCCATTTACGGATAGTGCGACAAAGAAATGAGTCACCAAATTTCGTATGCGTTGGAATTGTGGCCGCAGTTAGACGGTGACAAAGTAGGCCAGCGCGCGTGGTCCTCTGAAGGTAAGGGGAAGATGGAATAACAGAGAATAACTCCTCAGAACACTGGCCGTGGTACAGACGATAGAACGCGCTTAGTGACGCCACGACACGGCGTACTTGAAGGCTCGAAGTGTTTTGTCACCACCTCATCGCCTATGATGCGGATCGCGCGCCGATGTAACCTATCCAAATCGAGCAATTCCTTGGCGAAGCCATCCCAGAGGTGCGAGCAATATTCCACGCAGGACCGCACTTGCGTTTTGTGCAACAAGCACAGTTGATCGGGCGTGAAAAAACGCCGCACCTTGTTCAGGACTCCGAGTTTGCGTGAAGCTCTTGTGATTACGGTTTCGATGTAGTCCTTTGGATTCAGGTCTGAGCAAACTTCCATACCGAATATACCATATTTAGAATACCGCGGTTTTATTTACCAATGAACCTGGCTTGTGACTCGACATGTTTGCTACATTTTTTTTAGCTTGTTGAAAAAAAAGCAGTGGTTATGCTGAGATTTTTTTTTAATGAAATGGGTGTGCGACAGCGCTTGCCTTTTTTAATCCAACTTTTAAACCAAACTGTAGTTCGTATACGCTTTTTATAATTTCGCAATATGCTATAGCGAGATGACATAAATCTTCAGGCTTCGTACAAGCCTAAGCCATGATTCTTCAGAAACGACTGTTTTGCTCGTTAGTCGATCGGCGCCAACGAGCCGCGAGTAAAAGTTTAAGAGTTATATCAACTGTTATTGTTCTTGCAGCCTGGCAGCGTAGCAGCGCACTTGAATCAACACACTAGACGGAAGATATACACGTGCGAGACGTGCGGGAGATCGTTCACGACTAACCATGTACTCAGGAATCATATGGCGGTAAGTAATAATAATAATATTTCCAACACTCACACCAATTAGCCTAGCCCCAAAGTAAGCACTATAGGCTTGTGATATGGGATACTAGGATATCGGTTAAAATACATGTACTGATACATATACAGGGTTAATTTTAAAACACCAACAACCTCTAAGGGGGTGATTCTACCCATCAACAAGAACAACTTTTTTTATTGGTCAACTCTGAAATCAGCTGTTTCATATATTTCGGTCGATTAGCTGATGAACTTTTGTATAAAACAGCTGATATTTTTTCGCGAAGTCAGCGTTGGTCCCATAATAAAAGTTGTTCCTGTTGATGGGTAGAATCACCCCCTAAGAGTTTGTTGGTGTTTTAAAATTAACCCTGTATTAGTATATTTATATAGAAATACATATTAAACATTAACGACTGGAGTATAAAAACTCGTATTCATAACACAAAGTCGAAGCCGAGTTCCGAACCCCCCCTCGAGTAGGCGAAACCTAGAAATCCGGTGTCCAAACCACTCGGCCACGGAGGTCGTCAAGTATAGTGCGATTTAAACTTAATGCCGACTGTGAAGTTGCGCGAGTCGCGGCGCAGTAAACTAAATCTAGGGTGATATAGACATAGAGGTATAAGAATAGACTGGGCTCTAAAAGTGTCCGTCTAGTAGAAAAAGAAAGAAGATGAGAGACCGCTAGCTATCTCTCTCTCTTGTGACGCATGGCATCCAACGGCATTACATCGAAATAGTAAGACGCTTACTCATTTTCGTTCTCCTTCTATTAGAGGGACACTTCCACTTGGTGTAGTGTCTTTATCTCCCCTACTCTATTCTTATACCTCTATGGTTGTATACGAAACCCTTCTTTTGCGAGTCAGATTAGATTTTTCTAACTTTGAAGATTATTATGCCAACTTTATCAATTATCCCATACTAAGCGAAAAATTACTGAGTAAATATTTACTTACAGACACACACCGGTGAAAGAAACTACGCTTGTAATATATGCGGGAAAAGATTCACACAGAACGGCAGCTTGAGTCTACATTACCGCACTGTTCACCTAAAGCAACCTTATATTAGGTAAATATAAAGTGTAAAGAAAATATAACTAGAAAAAATTCCACGCGGACCAGGCAGCAGACGGGACTCGAACCCGCACCCTTCGCAATCCGGGCGAATGCACTGACCAATTATGCTACCGCGGCCCTCACGGACCGCGTCGAAATTCTTTCTAGCTATTCTTAAGCTGCAAGGCAGCGCCATCTCTTCGCATTATAGGTAAACCCACAATGTCAAATGAATACTTTTACAAGTATTAAACATTTGAAAGAAGAAATAGCAATTATAGTTATAATTTTTATTATTTTTAAAGCATGTAACTGCTTGATGTTTAAATCTAAAGAAAATATAACTAGAAAAAATTCCACGCGGACCAGGCAGCAGACGGGACTCGAACCCGCACCCTTCGCAATCCGGGCGAATGCACTGACCAATTATGCTACCGCGGCCCTCACGGACCGCGTCGAAATTCTTTCTAGCTATTCTTAAGCTGCAAGGCAGCGCCATCTCTTCGCATTATAGGTAAACCCACAAGGGTGCGGGTTCGAGTCCCGTCTACTGCCTGGTCCGCGTGGAATTTTTTCTAGTTATATTTTCTTTAGATTTAAACATCAAGCAGTTACATGCTTTAAAAATAATAAAAATTATAAATATAAAGTGTACATTTAAATAGCATAGTGAATTAAAAATTTCGAATTTTAGAAGTCATGTTATGTAATCTAATCACAATGACAAGTTTATACTCTATTCAACTTCCTTTGAGCCAAAAGTTAAACAAACTATAAAAAGGTTTTTAATAGGTCGAATTTTATACATAAAAAATCATAATTAAAAGTGACATTTAAAGAACCTAACAGGTTCTAATAATGTCACTTTTTACATAGGTAGGTACACCAATTCCTAAACTTTGAACGCATCATAATACAACTAAATTGAAGAGTAGTGATAAAGCGAATAATTTACGTTGAAATGTGAAATTTTGTAATCATACTAGTTACACCGGCCATCTTTAATTTCGATAAAAAAGTTTTGGAAACATTGGTTTATATGCTTACCTTTTGGTACAAAGGAAGTTGAATAGAGTGTAGGTATATTTTTCAACTTTTGCGTAGCAACTAGTCAAACAAATGCATATATTTATTGTGTTAATTTTAAATCCAGGGATAGAAAAAAGAAGATAGATGACACAAACATCGGAGCGTTCTTCAATAAACAGGAGTTCTTGTAGATATCACCAAAATGTAGTACAAAGAAAAATAATAATACCGATGTAGGAATGTGTGAATGTGAATCTATTTACAGTGAATGTAAGATAAATATAATTTTAAAGAATTATAGCTGAAATATTATAATAGCCGCAAGAAAATCAACTGCGTACGTGAAAATGTGTTCCTTTTTTGATTGGCTATTGAGAAGAACTTTAATATTATAGATGTGAAACTTTTTACCGGTACCCATGGTTTATTTCTCCAGTGATTTTTAAATATTATACCGTTACCAAATATTGGTGCACTCTATAAATTTTGCCAAAATTTCAACCCAGTGTCAACTTTTGTTTATTATTTTTTAATAAACTCGAGTAAAAAAGTTTTAGGAAAAAGAGTAAATGATTTTTATGAAGGCTTAGATCCAAGTATAGTAATTTAGTTACAATCAGGTAATCATCTTTTATAATTTGACAGTTAAATATGAGGAAGTCTTAGGACAATAGTGGTTGTGATGTAGAAGATTTGAATAGATTGTAATATTTTAAATAATGTTCAAAACCATTTACTATTTTTTTGTTTTATTTACTTGTACATTTTCACTCTCCCAAATTACTTAAATAAAATGAATATTGTTTTTAATAAAATCACTGATTAATATGCTTACGAGTTATTGTATATATTTTTTTATAAATATATATTTTTCGTATTTATTTCACTGTTTTCTGATACATATACAATATAAGACAAAAACTGATTTATACATACATTTGTTAATGAAATAAGTTTCTAAAGTCAGCGATAATTATGTCAAGTTATCAGTAAATTTACTAATTGTCTCAATTAATTCTGAATCGTATTTCAAGTACAGTTAAGTTCAAATTTACAGAAATTTATCAGTTTTTGATATCTAACTGTGGCTATTTGCGTACATTGATGACCTGAATTTAATTATGTTTTTTTATGAAATATAGGAATCTCACTTACTTTCTTTATACACATAATATTTGTTCAACACGCTTTGTATCAATGCGTAGCTATAAATTGCAGACTGCATAATACAACGATGTGCTGTTGATTTTTACTAAAATATTGCAAATTTTGAAACTTTTTATTTATTTTTGATTTTAGCAATCTCAATAATATTTATATCTAATATTTATTTATATGTTAAGATACGATCATCATTCATTATTTGTGTTAAATTTTAGTTATCCGATTTCCAAAAGAGAAAAGAAATAGGAGTTCCTTATACAGCCTTTGACCATTCTGTAATGCTTGGAAACGTTATGCGGCCCTTCGCTTGGCTATTCGTGTTTGTTATTTGTTTATTTGACAATAGTCTCTGTTTTTCACTGTCTATAGAGTGTGAAGAGGACAACCTGCTGTCAAAATGACAAATGGCAAACACGAATATCCAAGTGAATAATAGCAGTTATAATATTAATGTGTGCGTGACAAAAATGACGCTTTGTTCTGAACTGATTTTGATTAGCTGTAACTGTATACAAGGTATTATTCACCGAGGTTCACAGTTGACCTTGTATTAAAAGTATTTTTGCCTGAGCGCTGGGAGCTCTCCGCCCTCTATCTCGAAAATGGTTGAGCGTATTAAAAAAAAGTTGAGACAAAAGTTGTGGATAAAGCTGTACACGAGTTTCCAGCTTATTATCACAAATTCCGAGATTGACCCCTTTTTTCCCCTAAAGTGACTGGGCTACAACCAATAGCTACGTTCGGTATTTGCATCGCAGAGTCGATGGATTTTTGGTCATGTGATCACAGATATCACATAATCTGAGGAAATAGCTATTAACAAACGGCTCGATCAACCGTAGATTAGATTTATTAAAGATATAAACAAACTTCTACACTCAAACAGACCAACCAACCATACAAAATGACAGATAGATGACAGACACACGGATTAATCTTTCTCGTCGGTCAAAATACTCCGACCAAAGAGATTTACATCGGACTGATTTCAGTGGAATTACCGAACAGTTCAGATTTATCTCATCTAGATGTAATAAACGAACGATACAGACTAAAAAGATGGATCAGACGCAAATAACGAACGAAGCTATTATTGAATTCGAATAGTTGAAATCGATCTCGATATGCGTCAAAGTGGTCAAGAAGTTTTATATGGAAATTTGAACAGCGCCACAACGGACGTAAACTTTCATACAAAACTTCTGGACATTTGACCTTAGATACAAACAAAAAGGGAAGATACGGCACTCGAGGCTCAAAAGTGATCCGCTTAAATTGTGGTGCATGACCATATTTCGCTTTAGTCACAATTGGACATTCAAACACGCTGCATGTGCAGTGCACTCAATAAAACAATTTGTGTATATTCTGTGATATAAACAAAAAACAATGCTTTCGATGCTTTTATAAAGAACACAAATAGTTCTGTCTGTCGCTCTCTCGATTAAATGTTTATACACAGACGTGTGCGTGTGAGAGTTGCTTATGTAGTTGAGTCGGATAACATTTTATTTAATGCTAGTATGAACGTACCGTATCTTTCCTTTTTGTTATAATCTAACCATTTGGCACGTATTGTGATCGAATTCGTTTATGATTCGCGCTAGGGCTATTATTATCTAGCTCTTTTCTAATCATGTCAATTTTTATTTATTTATTGTCAGTATTATCTGTATTAAATGAGTATACGCTGTTAAGTCATTACATTAACAATTTAGAAAAAAAAAACATGAAGGCGAGAAACTTTGAATGAATGAATGATTCATTTCTCTCACAACTTTAGACAAATGGTCACGCAACGAGTATTATTATTATAAAAAGAATTACTTATACGAAATTTTATTTATTTATTTGCTGCTGATTGTAAAATAAAATTATGATTTAGTAGATCTGCTTATATTTTAGGACTTTGTAATAAATATTAATTGTATTGTATCATAATAATTTAGTCATACTAAAGATTTGTTTTTCCTCGATTCGCAAAACGTTGTCTTTGATATAAAATAACATAACTAAAACAAATATAATAAAGGCGTATTTTACTCGTATATGAAGATATAGCACAAATATCATAAAAATATATTTTCTGGTTTAAATGATGGAGGCTGTAAATAGCCTCGATCCTTGGACTAAAAACAACAACATCAGTAATGATGTTGTTGTTATTCAGTCAGTATATCAGTAATCACAGTCTAAACATAAGTTTAGCTAAGACTAACTTATAAAAGTTAGTCTAAACTGGTTTTAAACTAAATAAGGTCGATCGACTAGCTAAAATCACAACAAATATTATTTTGTTGAGGTTAGATCACAGAACTAAAACAATTTATACATTTTGGAGTACGAATATCTTAGGTATTTAAAGTTTTTGTTTATTATTATTGAATTTGAGCGAGGTTATACTATTTGAATACTAGTCCAAGTTTATACTTATTGAATTTATTCAAGCCGTCGGCACTGACACACGTTATTTAAGTCCTGAGTTTGATTACTGCGATCTTAGGTAAAAAATAATTTCGAGTATAAATTAGCGTTTACTAGTTTCCATAAGTTTTCGAAACAGCCTTTCTGTTTTATCTCCATTTTTGTAACTTTCCGGAGTGGGTGTGAATAAAAGCAACTTAGGAAGTCTTTAGGTGAACATTTTCCATACAGATATTAAAAGTCTACCAGCAGACAAGAAAGTTCAAAAACTTCATTGGATAACATCACAGATTTTAGCTAATAACAATGTAATAAAAATGTGATACGTGCTTCCCACTGTATTTTGAATGTTTCTTTATCAAACGAGTTGTGTGCGCAAATAAATGCCGGTACTTCAACTTTGTTATTCGTGTTTGATCTTTGTAAATTTGTCAACAGTCTGCCCTTATCATGCTTTATAAGGAATGAAAAGGACAGGCTGATGTCAAGTTTACAAATAGCAAACACGAATAGCAAAGTGAGGTGCCGCCATAAGAAAACATGATGTATTCGTTGTCGATAATTATAATGATGTGGCAATATATAGGTAATATGTAATTAGTAAAACTGTAAATACCTATTAGTACGCAATAATTTGTAACACTAGTTTTTTTATAATAAACAAAATATTAGTATGAAAAGTGTTTTAATTCACTTATATGAAAATTTTTGGATTTGTTGTTATTTACAATATTATTATTTTGCCCGGTTATAGTCAGTTTACACCAAGATGCGACGAATGAAACTGTCTTTAATACAGAGAAAGATACACATTTCATTGAGAAAATTCTTTACCGCACGTCACCCTACGCTACGCAATGAAAATTGAAATGTGAATGTGAATATGTATATGCGTAGTAAATAAAGTTTTTTTTTTACCCAAGGGCGTCGCCAGCTGATGGGGTGGGGAGAAGTGGATCTCAACTTTTTCAAAGTTCATAAGTTTTTCTATCTAGAAGACAGAAATTCATCTCCTGTATATGGATTATTGGTAATAAGAACTTAAACTTCTTAAATTAATGTCTGGCCACTATTATGATTATATTATATTTGCCGCTTTATGTAAAATGATGTCAAGACTGTTGTCTCCCCTGATGAAGGGGAAGACATCAGGATTTCTAAAGTAGGTACTGCCAGCAGGACTAACTTTTAAAATTGTATATCTTAAAGTATTATAGTATATATTACATAAGGTTGCATTAAAACCATAAACATTAATAAAATCACCATTTTGTTAAGCGTTGATCTTTACTTGAGTACAGTTAGAAAGGGATGCCGCTATAGACTTGGGCACCTATTACTGATTTATTATTAGAAAATAATGGTTCACGGTTTATGCATAGCGATTATGTTTATGAAATTAAATGTGTTTTTTTATTTTTATATATGAGTTGATTGAATGAAAGATAAATAGTGGTTTACGATTTATGATGTATTAAAAAAACAACTTACTAGATCTCGTTCAAACCAATTTTCGGTGGAAGTTTGCATGGTAATGTACGTCATATATATTTTTTAGTTTTATCATCTCTTATTTTAGAAGATACAGGGACGACGACGACACATATTTTATCACTTTGGAAGTGTCTCTCGCGTTAACTATTCAGTTTACAAAAAAAATGATATTAGAAACCTCAATATCAGTTTTGAAGACCTATCCTTAAATAACCACACGTATGGGTTTGATTAAATTTTTTTTTTGAGTTTCAGTTCTAAGTATGGCGAACGTTCAAAATTTATTGTTTGTACCAAGTTTCAACAGTATAGTTCTTATAGTTTCGGAAAAAAGTGGCTGTGACATATGGACGGACATGACGAATCTATAAGGGTTCCGTTGTTTGCCATTTGGCTACGGAACAGAGTTCAGTTCAGTGGGAGATATAAGAAAGAGAAAGCAGTGCGCGCGCACATTT